AATACACGAACAAGGCATGTTCAAATGCTTTGCGTGGATTATGTTTTAAGCGCACACGTGTTGTAAGAATGAGCGCATGCCTTATGATGCAAAAATGAATATGTTCGGATATCAAGGCCATTTCCAGGCGTGTCAGGCTTTGGGTTGACCCATGGGTATCCGGAGATAATAAAAAATCCGGAGGAAAAATAGCAGGAACAAAAAGTTCATCGACGGTAAAATGGGAAGAGCTGCATCGCTCAGAGCCACGGGTAGTAGATCCAAGATGTTAACCGCAAACTTAATTTACATCGTTTATTACCATCCATCGCTCAATGTGCACCATCAACCATTACTGAGAAAAATGGAACGAGCGGTTCATGAAGATGCTGATGAAAACAGTTAAGTCGCCATTTCGACAAGTTTAAAAAGGTGATATTCATCCAACTTCGGCGAAAAAGTACTTGTTTTTCTCATATGTTCTCCGTTGAAAAAAGGTAGGCACTGAAGCATTCCCGTCCCTCCCTCCCTCCCCCCCCCCCCCCCCCTATAAAGATCCGCCTGTGGATTCACACAAACTGGATTCAGATTTCGATGTGCGGTTGAGGGTTTTGGTAAAAAGATGAATGGCGATATTTTGATTTCGTGCGCTCATTTTATTAAAGCAACACCGATTTAACTTCTTTATTCTACAGTCTCGCGAGTTTGTTTTTTAAAAGGCTCCTAACATCCAAGTTCACCACTCCCTGGGCTGCGTCCACCGTGTACCATGGGCTTAGATCAGTTAAGGTGATGGGTTTAGATCAGTTTGTTTAATTGTCAAGGTCAAAGGACAAAAAATGTCTGGTTAAGACAATCTAAAACGGCGTTGTGTCTTGTACTCCGCTTTATTCATGCATTGGCAGCAAAACACATTAAATAACGTTATATCCTTTCATATATAAGGCATGCAGCTTTTTATGCTCTGAAGCAGTAAATGTCAAGCAGTTTATCACTCATAAGAAGAAGTTATCGATAGCAAACCGTCTCTGAGACCATGCATTCTGAAAAACGCTCGGGTCGGCGATTAAATGACTTTTGCTTGGTGGGGGTCAATTTGACCACACCTGAGATCCCAAATAATAAGAAAGCTCATAACCAAACTCATAGGATGGGATGGTCTTTACGTGGGCTAACCTGTCAAAATTTGAGGTCCTTAGGTTATGACCTCCGGGTAAAATAAGGGCAAACCTGGTCCGTTTCGAGCCTAGATATCTGTTCTAAGCAAAATGAAACTGTTGTCAATCTTAGGTCAATGAGCTTTAGAAGCGTACGGTGACCGAAAACCTACGAGGTTACTTTGATTTTTTAATAAGAACAAGTCATTTTTATTATCTCCTTTGCATTGCGTGGCGTAACAAATACGGCGTTAGGCGATGCAATTCCAAAAATGGGATAATCTAGATTACTGCAGGTCAGTCACACATTCTGACCCTTGAGAAGTCCATGGAATGTGTTTGTTGCACTCCCTATTCTCAAGAAATTCGGAATGAGCTTCAGAAACTACTCCTCAAAGCAAGCTCTCCAGCAAAAAAGCGGGTTTGCTTTGTACCTCAGTCTAACATTTAGACTTGACCCTAAATCAATGGAATTTGTTTTCATCCCAAATGTAGTTGTTTTATTGCCAAATAATTATGTCAGAAATGTTTGGTTTCAGCTAACACTCCGTTGTCGCATCGGATTGAGGGATTCCCTAAAAATTATCTTCGCTGATAGCCACGGGCTGAATGGCTAGCCATAAGTCAGTGACCGTTCAAGGGACATCTAATTTGTTCATAACACAAGATTCGCTACCAAATGACGAACAGCTATGCAACGCTTGACGCGAACATGCCACGCCGTCGGAGCACTGTTTTGTGAAAATCTTCCGGGTGTCAAACTGACCACTCATCCGCGCGCGTGTTATTTCATACGGCACGGTGCAATACTGAATCCAGCCGCACAATTTAATGTAATGCAATTAATCGCAAAGTTCGCTACATTTTGGCAAATATGCCCGTTGCCATCTTAAGTTGAGCTTAATGTTGGAATTCATTTAACACATTTGCATTTTATTTCACGATGTATCTATAACTCGTAAAATTTGTGGCTTGGTATATTCCAATTGAACTTGAAACGGAATTCGACAGTGCACCGTTTAGATTAAATTCCCAAGAAATTCACATTCACACCTATAGTTTTGATGTGAGATCCGCTGTGTGTAAATCGAGGAATGAGACGTCCCAAATAAAACTCGTAGCCACCAAAAGTGCGGGTGGCACTAACCATTGCTCACCATTACTGGCACTCCACTTACAAAAGTGGGGTATCATGGTTCCCAGGCTCCCTGCCCTGTACCTGCGCATACGTAAGTTTCTGGTCATACTCGAGGTGGCAACACTATTGTTACTAGTGGATGGTATATGCAGTGTATAGGTGAAACATATGCGTGGAACTGAGGAAAGGGAAGGCAAATAATGTTGAGCCCCCAATTTTCTGATTATTTAGCAGCTTTCCTATGTCTCTTGGCAGGAGGACAGCCCAAAAAGGGGCATGCCCCTCCCCCCCCCCCCCCCACACACATGAGAGGACGTCCCTTGCCCCTGGGATAAACAGGTAGTCGGTCAGCGATTGAATGGCGGCGAGTGCGCAGGCGCGTGAGAACCAGCCGCTGCAGGCATGGCGCTTTCCGCAAATGTGTAAGCATCACTCACTAATAATGGCTGCTGAGAACGCAACATGCCACAGGAGGCAGCATGTCGCCGCGGTGTGAGGCTGCGCACGGAGGCTCACGAGTCACCACTCACCGCAAGACACGGGTTCACGCGGTCCACATTCGCATTCAGTTCGGCACGCGCTGCAGACCACGGCAGACCCGCAGACTGCGGCGGGCCTGCAGACTGTGGCAGACCTGCAGGCCGTGGCAGATCTGCAGACTGCGGCGGACCTGCAGACCGCGGCAGACCTGCAGACCGCGGAAGACCTGCAGACCACAGCAAACCTGCAGAACGCGGCAGACCAGCAGACCGCGGCAGTTCTACACGCATTCCGCATGCGATGCAGTGTTCTTTTGGCGACTGGCGACGTTTTTCCATAGCGAGAACTTTCCAGCCAGCCGCCCGGTCCACGCTAGGATCAGGGCCTCATTTGATGCGAACGGTATACGCCTCCACAGTGTGACGACAGAATAGGACTTGTTAGCCCCCCCCCCCCCCCCCTAGCATTTAGCTTCACCAATATTAGACAAGCCGCTGTGAATCGGAGAAAGAGGATGTCTTCCCTGACATATTTTGGTCTTTAGCTTTGGAACCTGTGACATATTATTGTAAAAATTACTCTGATATGCACGGATCGCTCCAAACCGATGGCGGCTCCGGAGGTGCGTTTGGGAGTGGGTCTGTAAACTCGGTCTTCCACGCTGCTGGAACGTGCGTCGGTACTTACAGCCAGTTTGTTGCCGTCTCGGAGACACTGCGTTTTATCGAGGATGATAACGAGCATTCACGTCTCATCTAATCGGACCTGCAAGTACCTGCTGGCTCGGAAACGTTTTGCTCCGACCTTTCAGGTTATACAGGATACCTTTATATGCCTGGCTGCACCTGGCAGGGAGGGGAAACGGTTGTGCTTTACTGGCTCCCCCGGCTGCGTTCATGCGTCGTAGGGATGAACAGAACAGGCTGATTCTGATGCTAGTCGGGCGGCACAAGTGCCGTGCAATAGAATACTTGCTCTCCCTGCTGGAGACCTTCGGAACGATGAGTTTTGATGCATACATCAGAACTTGAACATGTACGGTTGGGACCAGAGTATCGAGCACCGAGCTCCGGGTAGTAATACCGAGATTAGTCCCATGGCATTCGTGCTCCGTGAATCAAGACGGGAAGGAGTTGCAATGAGGGGTTCTGCACCACCCATACGTATAAAACGCATGGTTACCTGCTTCGTAGCGAAGACTGGCCAAAGTGTTCTCGCTTCCATGTTTCTCCTGACAGTTCACCATACCATGCAACATGTCCGCCCTTGAACGGACGAACGTCTGCATTATTTTAGTCGTTGCGCCCCACCGCGAATTTACCTTAACGTGTTGCGTCATTGAGGCAGAGGTGCTGTTCGTATTTTTAGCGCAATCAGATTTCCGCAATATAGCCTCGACACAAACTAATAATGTCTCGTTATCGGCGCACCATGTCCCGTCCGGGCACAGTATCCGTCGGGCGTGCCCTAAACCCCTCCCCCCCAAAAAAACAGCAACAATGCGAGCCACAAAGTCCCAGCGGTCAACATTTGATGCGCTCTAAACTCATAGACAAGACAGTGGCACAAGCCTTATTCCTCGGAGGAAAAAAAACAGGATAATTGAGATATATTTGGGTCGATATTTCGGCAACATGCCTTTATCAAAACAATCCTCTGCTATTGTTTCGACAAAGGCATGTTGCCGAAATATCAACCCAACTATATACACTACAACTATATATCTACATCTTCTTGGTTTTTCTCCGATGAAGAAGGCCAATATTACCGTGTTATCTGTATGAATAATGTCCGTCGCTAATGCACTGAACAGCTTGCGCTCCAAACTCAAACAACCATCGGCCACGTATTTCCGCAGAGAGTTTCCGCACTTGGTCTTTGCCACCGCCAGTGTCCTACGACAGATGTCTTATCCCACAACTGACATGCAATTCATTCACCGCCCTGTTTCACTTATATAAGACGTGAGTTGGCCATTCCCAGTATCACTGTGCAATCAGGAGCGTTTTGGGCAGCCCGCAATCGTGACGCAGCTGGTCATCGCCGGAAAGTGTGCTCCGGTGCCAATACAATGCGCCCAGATGACCAACTGAACCACTTCCCACGTTCCCATCTGCTTCTTATGTAAACGCTGCGCTATCAGGAGTAGGCCTCCCCTTGTGCGTGCCTATATAATGCACGCACGAGCCACGCACTTGCCAGCAGTACCTGAACCTGCAGAAAGTCGAGCCTTTCGGAAGATCAGAATGCAGCGCGTGACCATTCTGCTGTCGGCCGTGGTGGCGTCTGCACTGGCGAAGTGCCCGAACCTGCCCGCGCTCGAAGAGTTCGACTCCACACAGGTCTGTCATGCAGTAGCACTTGCCGTGTACTACCGCACTGACCCGAGTGATAGGTCGTGTCTGTCTTCGGTGTCAGCAGCAGGCCAGCTTGTCGAAGTAACGCTACAAATCTCCACAACGTATACTGTTATAACATTTGAAAAAGAGTCCCGGAGTGATGGCAGGCGAGGGCTGAGTTCTCCTCACATCATATTCACGAAAACCAAATTAGGCGTTCGTGGGCGGAATGAGGACGGCCATATGGTCCATCGCCCATCCTACGCCTTCCACACACCCAAATCGCACGATAAGTGGCCGGCGTGTAAGGGCCCCTTCTAGCCCCCTCTCCTCCACGAGGATGAATGCGTGCAGTCCCGGATGACTTCCTTTTGTTCAGGAAATCAGCACAGTTCTTCAGCTGAAGTTTCCGACCTGGCCTTCCGGTAGAGGTTGTACGTCGTGATCTATGCCTTGCTTTCCTCTGAGTGATATGCGCATCTAATGTCCAACGTTCTACGCAACCAATGCTCCATCGATCGACTAACCCCACCTGTCATTAACCGTTGCAGTACACCGGCCTGTGGTACGAGATCGCGCGGTACCCGCTCATCGGCGAGCTAGGCGAGACCTGCGCCCAGGCCAACTATACCCTGCAAGGAGACGGCTCCATCCGGCTGGAGAACCGTGGGAAGAAGCCGGACGGCAGCATGGACTCCATCA